AGACAGACAGGTACCCTGGAGCCGGTAGGCTTGCTCTGAAGTTGGGATTCGGGAGGAGGTACTCGAACCATCGACTGCCCACACATCCCTTCTTTCGCCCCCACTGATGCCACGGGAATGCCAGTGTGTCGACCGCTGTAGCCAGTGATGACACCGCCGACCAAGGAGTCGGAGCCGCTAGAAGTGGAAGGATCTCCCTCTTCTGGCTCGCCTTCGACCAAGCGGTCGATGCTGTCTTCATCGTCCCGAGAATCAAGAACGTAGTCCTCGACCTCCCTCAAGATCGGGTCGATGGTGGTAGAAAGGGAAGAAGATTCGGCAGCTAGAGAAGGATCCGGCCTCACGAGAGGGGAGAAGAAATTAGTAGGCGCCTAAAGTTTTCAAAAAAAAAAATATATATAAATAGTCAAGTAAAAAGCCAAGGCTAAAGCGACGATGGTTTGAATAAGCAACGATGGTTCGAATAAGCAACGATGATCCTAACCTAGATATGAACTAGACGACGATGATTCAAACACAGCGTCGACCATTCCGACAAACCCAGAAAGCTAAACAAGAACCCGGCCCACTCGAAACTCTTATGACAAGTTCAGAATATAACGAAAAACACTAAAATCAGGTTCCAGCGCCCTTATTATGCCATTTTTTCAACCTTCCCCACCTCCTCTCAAGAAATCCAATGCAAGTTCAGACAGGATAAATACACGAACATTGAAACATGAAGGGAGATGAATGCTTACCAGAAAATCGAGAGCGAGAAAGGCGCGAGAATTGAGGTGAACTTCGCCGAAGATTCGCGAGTTTGCAAGAGGAGGGTTTGAAAAACGGTTCTGGGGAAGTTTTGGCAGAGTTTTGACTTACTTTTAAGATGGTTTTGAAACAAACGAGGAGATTACTTATAGCAACGAAGAGCCCTCGATCCCCAGCCGTCTGATGAGGTAAATATGCATCCAATGGCTGAAACGGAGGGACTCGATCCGACGGTTAGGGAAAGGGCGGGAAGCTGAAGAGACACGATCCAACGGTCCAGATTCGTTTGTTTAAATGAAAGACCGCGTCAACATGGCGATTGAACTGACGCGATGTTTGCACTTCTCGAGGGATTTCGAAGCGCCAGAGCCATCATTGTGAGGGAGGCTCGGAGTTAGGCTCCCTCACCTGAAGCAGACAAAAAGCGCTAGAGCGAATCCCAACCTAGCTTGAGGCAGTCCGAAGAAAAGCCTCGACTTGGTGGGCAGTTGTGTGGGAAAATGTGCGCTGACACGTCGGACAACAGCCATGCCCCACGCGGCCATGTTCTTTCCACGTCAGAAAGCTGTTGACGCCTAAAAACTCATCCGAGCGAATCCTAACCTAGCTTGAGGCAGTCCGAAGAAAAGCCTCGACTTGGTGGGCAGTTGTGTGGGAAAATGTGCGCTGACACGTCGGACAACGGCCATGCCCCACGTGGCCCTGTTCTTTCCACGTCAGAGAGCTGTCGACGCCTAAAAACTCATCCCCCCCCCCAATCTGGTGAAAATGTCGGCCGTTGGATTCATGATATCGTCGACTCTACGTACAGTCGACCGAGACAGAGGCCGCGCCCCGAGAAGTGGAGGCGCAAAGGGTAGAGCATAGGCAAATGGGTCTGCATCCCAAGTAAGACCTCTTAGGTGACAAGCTGAAGATCCATAGGTTGCGTCTGGGTTTGGACAATATCAGTAGCACATGAAATGATTACAAACCCATAAACCGCCTGGAATGGACCAAAGAAAATCACTAAGGATTTACAGAACCGCAATAGTGGATGAGTAAACAATCCAAAAGGTGTTAGGAAGCTACGGTCTAGGCAGGAAGGATAATAGGTTGCCTAAGAGAAACCATCATTAAACCCCCTGTGACAATCTGTCCAAAAAGGATCCATATGTGATCCATAGGCTATAAATAGAGAAAGAGCCCCAGAGAAAGAGAGATCTTTTGGTAACCAGGGATCTTTTTGTAAACTTCAAAAGAACAAAAAGAAATACAATCAGCAGTGGATGTAGCTCTTTTTTAATAGAGGGAACCACTATAAACTTGTGAGCATTCTTTTACGTTTTCAAGCAATACATCTAACAATATACCTCAAACGCAAACACCGTCACTAGAATATCCGACAAAATTACAAGTTTTAACCGGTAACCTAACGGGCCACTGAGGGGTAATCAACCGTCAACAATTGGCGACTCCGCTGGGGACCGAACCCAGAATCTCTGGTTCGTGTGTTTAGGACCCAATCAATTAAGAAGTAACAAACGATCGTGCATCCGAGAAAAAGAAATGACGCTGCAAACCAAGGCAGCCAAACGGAGGAAAACACCACGCATCCAACCAACGGCGGGATCAGTCCGACCGCCGGGAGAAACTCAATGCCTCCTATGGAGGATGCCCCGAGACCACCGGGAGCCGCCGTGGCTGGGAACCAGAATATTGGTGACCAACGATGTGCCCCGGAAGGGATCGGGGAAAGTGAATATGTCAGAGGAGATGATCTGAGGCCTCGATCGTCCAAGTCCCTCGGCAGTCGACAAAGGGCCACCAGGCGACGAGCCCTGGGGAACAGAGCAGTCGGAGGTCTGGAGAACCCTAAAGCGCCACCTCGAAACCTGGGTAACAATGTCCCGGGAGACTCGAGGTCGGTGCAAGAGGGTGGAGACCTAAGGACTAAGCTAGACGCCAAGAAGGCAGAGGCATCAAAAGGGGCTAGCTCTGCAATCTCAACGGAGGAGGCAAAGGCCATCATGGAGCGCGTAACGAGCTTAGAAGAAAAGTTCATAGGTGACGTCGCCGGTTTGAAGAAGGATGTGAAATGCCAGGTGAGTCACCTGCAAAAGAACCTAGGACAGGTGGCGGAGGTGGTTAATGTCGACATCCCTCTCAGTCGAACTCATGACCACCCTTTTATCACAGAAATCATGGTGCCACCTTTCCCAGACAAATATAAGTCCCCCACCATACGATGGCGGAGGGGATCCTGACGACCCTCTGGAGATGTACACGGGACATATGCTTCTGCATGGATACGCAGAGGAAATAATGTGCTGAGCATTCCGGAACCACTTAACGGATTCTGCCCGAAGATGGTTCCGAACACTCAAACCAGATTCCATCTACAGCTGGGAGGAATTGAAGGAAGCCCTCTCCCTCCAGTTCATCGGGTTAAAAAAGTATATCTCGCCGAAGCAAAATCTAACGATGGTGTATCAAAAACCGAACGAGTCATTAAAAGAATGGCTGGCAAGGTACGGAGAAGCCGTCGCCGCTATAACGGATATGACAGACCGGGAGGCTCTAATGGGGGCCTTATCCAATATGAAAAAGAGCACGCCGTTTAAACGCGACCTAAACCGAAAGCCACCGGCCACCTACAAAGAATTTTTGGCATGGACGCTGGGATATATCAACGCCGAAGAAGTCGACGCAAACGATCCTGAGCACAGATCCAATAAAAACAAAAGAACGTAGCAAGAATCGACCTCGGGGAAACAAGACAGTCGAAAACGACGAGGTGGGAGAAACAGAGACAAATAGGTCGTGTCGGCGTCGAACCCTCCAGAAACGAAGAAACTGAGGCAAGAGGAAACTCAGAAGTCTCGCCCATTCCAACGCTATGATTCCTATCACGAACTGACCATAGGAGTCGAAGAGGTTTTCAATAAGGTCGGTTGAGAAAACTTGTTGTGCCGACCGGAACCTATGAAGTCGGATCCAAACCGAAGGAATCAAAACAAATGCTGCAGATTCCATGGAGACGTCGGCCGCAACACGAACGATTGCACTAACCTGAAGGATGAGATTGAAAGACTAATCCGCGATGGGAGGTTGCAAGAATTTAAAGCTGATAGGAGAGGCCATGGCCCCGGAAATGACGGTCGGCGCCGGGTGGATAATTGACGGAGAGAAGATCGTGAACCGGTCGGCGTCATAAGAACCATCCATGGGGGATCATATTTCGGGGGGATTCAAGGAGATCCCAGAAGAATTACGCCCACGAGGCAATGCAGGTGTACCAAGAGAGGTTTTGGAACCTCTCAACTACTAAGCTAACAAAGACAGCCAAATTCGGTGAGACTGAAGTAGCATTCATCGAAGAAGACGCGAACGGAATCCATTTCTCCCATAACGATGCATTGGTAGTAGAAGCAGTGGTTGGAAACCACACCTTGTGCAGGATCCTCGTGGACAACGGAAGCTCAGTGGACATCCTGTTTTCCGATTGCCTAGAAAAGATGAGAATCCCAAAGGAGCAACTGGAGAAAACATCCTGGCCATTATACGGGTTTACGGGGGACTCGGTCATCCCTCAAGGAACGATTAGGTTGCCTATAACCACAGGAGAAAAGCCTAGGCAAACAACTTCGATGGAGAATTTTGTGGTGATTAAGGGAGGCTCACAGTACAATGCTGTGATCGGGAGGCTGACCCTTCAGGCGCTAAGAACAATAACATCCGTCTACCACCAAAATTAAAGTTTTTCTGATTTATATTTGGATATATGTTGATCTTATATATATATATATGTATATATATGTATATATATATATGTGTATATATATATATATATGTATCCCCTCCAATGTACTTTGTCCCTCATCCAATTAATTTCTACTTGTTTGTGCAAATGGACGCCCTTATCCTGCCTTGATATGTTTGCTTCAACCTCTGCTACTCTTTTCTCACATCTTCTTCCAATAGAAAAGGAAGAAACAAAAAATAAAATTTGACCTGGTTTGTTGGAAGTGGAACTTAGTAAGTCCGAAGTAGCATGTATCTGTAGTCTAAACTTTTATTTATATGTGTACTATTTTCAACCATTGTGCTTACAAAAAATTGTTTGTTAAATTTTTTGAAATTATGATTCTACTTAGAGAATGATGGCTATCTTCTTTTTTTAAAGATGGGAAATATTTTCAGATGATTTTATTATTATTTTAGTTAGAACTATCACATCAATAGGTTGTGAAACTTTTGATATTCTGCAGTGATTGAAAATGGCCTGTGTAAGCAGCTGTGCTTGAGAATGTTTCCTCAGCTATGTAGAGTTGCCCGTGTCGTTGAATTAAACCAAGAAGATCGCATGGAAGTTGGATCTAGCAGCAATTGGATGGAGTGGGAAAGCATGGTCAAGGATCACAGGGTCTATGCTTTTCTAGCCCAGTGTTGTACATCGTTTGTTTCTAAGAATTGCATCCAAGAGGCAATCTGCGCTTCCAGCACTGATAATTATCCTGAAGAAAGCATTATTAATACTCTGGAAGCAGGAGATGTAGTTGAACGGAGAGCCTCATACTGGTCAAGTAAAGGGCACAAAGATCGCAGGGTTCCTGAGACACTAGTGTACAAGTTGGTTTCTGATCTTTGTGTGATCACTGAACTCAGTATTCAGCCTTTCCAAGGTAGTGTATTTTTTTTAATTATTATGTTTTCCCGTGAACTATGCAATAAAATATGTTTTCAGACAAATTTACTTTTGATTGATGAAAAAACATTCTCCTTGTTCCAATAGCTTTTTTCCAGCCGGGTTTGCCCATATATTCAGCTACAGCTGTGCGATTCCGAATGGGCCATCCGAAATCGCCAGACTTTAAAAGTGATTTGATGGATGAATCATGCCATGATGATGAATTCAATTGGACTTACACGTCACAAGAATTTCAGATGGCTCAGGTATATTCTAGCACCTAAGCTTTTTATCTTTTTTGCCTTTATGTTTTAATATTTGGATTTAAATTCTGATATTGTTGTGGTTATTGGTGACATGGTGAGACGGAAATTCAGCCTATATTTTTAAAATTGGTTATGTCGTGCTGTAAATTTAAAAAAAATTGTTTTTAGCTGTACTGAAGGAAGTAGTTATAAAAAACAGTTGAGTGTTTGGTAAACTATAATTATAGTAGCTGTGCTGGTTCTAAAATCAGTGTAATAGCGTTTGATAAATTATGAGGTTGAATTGATGTGGATAGTTAAAAATTACGACTATATTATATTATACTATAATATAATATATATTTATTATTATATTTAATATAATAAAAAAACTATTATTATATAATATATTATATTATGATATACAATATAATAATATTATTAAAATAATAACTGAAATACTTAAAATAACGATTATAATATAATTACAATATTATAAAACATATTATAATAATACATAAAAAATATTAATATTTCAGTTATAATATAATTAAAAATTATAACTATATTATATTATAATA